ATATAAAGTGAAAAGCTGGTTTTCTTAATTAGTTATTTTGGCAAATACTAGCTTTATATTATTGAATATTTTATTTTGCTTTCTTGTAATAACATAAAGTAATAGCTGTATTTGTAAATAGTACTTTGACAGGTACTAGCTTTATATTATTAGAATTTAAAAAGCTATATATAGCTTAGAACAACCTAATTATCTGTTGCTAATGATCTCTTTTAGTATCTTAGAATATTTCTAAGTCTAGCATAAGTAATCCTTATAAAGGGTAAACTATTTGTTAAGCCTGACTAATACAAAAAGAACAATAGGTTAAATCTTCTTTACAACTAGTCTATTATAAAAATCCTTATAGTATCTAGAAGGCTATTGAATTTAAATTTCATTTTTAAATATTTATTTTTTATTTTTAGTTATTTTTATTTATTTTATTTTTCTTTAAATAAAAGGTCTTCCATTTGACCTTCATCACTTTAAAATTTGTTACAGCTTGATAGTTTTTAGTAAATTTTATTACAGTATTAATAATTATAATTATATTTACAAAAAACTTTATTAGAGATAGTATGAGTAATTAAATAAATAATAGAACATTCAATTTTATGTCAAATTGTTTCAGTATTTTTGTGAATTTAATTATTAATAAGAGTTTTGTATAATAAGAATTGTTAAGATAGAATATTTGTAAATGAATTTAAATTCTTTATAAACATGAACTTATAATTAAAGATATAATAATTAATACCAGTATTTTTATATAAATGTTTATTATAAATATATGAAAATGTCTAAATAGAAAAGATAATTAAATGATTACTAAAAATAAAAGTTTAACTATTATTGAAACTATAAAAAAGAAGAAATTATATATTGATATATAACTACTATTAGTATTATTAGACTAGATAAAGTGTTTATTATTAAAATGAATTCTAATATTATATATATTAAGATTATTAAAAAAATTAATAAGTTTATATTTAGAAGAAAAGTTGTAGATATTATTCTGTATATTAAAATTATTAATAATAATAAGATAAATATAAAATTAAGAGACTTATTAGATCTAGTTGATTATTATATTTGAATTTAATTATAAATAAAAATATTAGTTGATAACAAATATATTAAAATGATATAAAACTTAATATTATTTTTAAAAAAATATCAAGTATTATAATATCTTTAGGATGAATGTGAACATTGTGAATATAAGATTTAAGATGATTACAGATCATAATAATAATATTTTCTATAAAAACAGAAGAATTAAACCAATAATAAGTAAAGAAATTATTATTGCAAAAAAAGAGATTAGTTTTATTAAAGATTTTGATTTCTGTAATGCTTACAATAAATATATCATGATTAAAACAATAATTTTATCAAACTTTTCTTTTAGTAGATTTATTAAAACCTCTAACATTGTGTGTAACAATAATTAAATGGAGATGATGTAAACTTTTATTTACATACAATTATATGTAATAATTTATCTCTTGACTAATCAAATAAATTAAATGATGATACCTTAAATTTACCTCTTAATGATTTAACCGACTAAATCGACGGCTTAGCCGACGGTCAATTGTTAGTCGAATGCTAAACAACACTACGAACAGTACGTACCGTACAGTATGTAGTCATCGTTTCGTTGACTTCTGTTAACTTGAATATACTCAATTTAAAACTTTATGATGAATACATATCATAGAAGTTTGTTGTAAACATTTTAATAGTGGCTTGTGATGTTGGTTTTTTAAAACAGCTTTTTATATTGAAACTTATTATAACAATTTGTTGTATAACATATAATAGTCTAATAGTATAACTATGAAGGCTATGTAACGCTATGTGATGACTTTATAATAGCTGTATAATGGTTTTGAATATTCGAATTAATTCAAATTCATACTTAATACAAATTGATTCGAATATTCGATTCCAACCTCTAATTCAACAAGACTTCTCTGTAGGCTCATTCAATAAAGACTTCTCTGTAGGCTCATTCAACAAAGACTTTTCTGTTGGCTCATTCAACAAAGATTCCTCTGTAGGCTCAATCAACAAAGATTTCTCTGTTGGCTCATTCAACAAAGATTTCTCAGTTGGCTCATTCAACAAAGATTTCTCTGGAGGCTCATTCAACAAACATTTCTCTGTAGGCTCATTCAACAAAGATTTCTCTGTAGGCTCATTCAACAAAGATTTCTCTGTAGGCTCATTCAACAAAGATTTCTCTGTAGGCCCATTCAACACCAAACCATTATCCTTTTGTTCAATATCAGCACACTGTATCGGCCTCAATTGTTCCATTATTGTTCGTGTTAGCGATGTTTGCCCACGTCCCCTTCCTTTTGGTTTAATCGGACGTGGTGTACGTGATAATTTAAATGCTTGTTGTGTTAAATTGTTTGGTAAATTTGTCCTCACGTCAACCGCTGGATTAGCAGTAGGTGGATGCATGGATACAAGTTTCGGTGCTATCTTTTTCCCTAGTGTTGTTGATGCCACATTGCTAATTATTTCATTATTTACATTTCTTGAAATAATCGTCGCGGACGGTGGTGGTAGCTGGTGTTTTTTATATCAATATTTAATCAATATTTAGTAATATAGTATAACATCATAATCTTTTACTATCAATGGTTACTTACCTGTCGATTGGGCTGATTAAAATTTAAGGCTGCCCAAGGCGGGTATTCCCTTTCGAGTTGCATAATTCTATCTTCCAAAAGTTTTATTCTTGTATAAACTTCCAGAGGAACCGGTGTAACTTATTTCACAAATAACGTCTTAGTTTAAAAACCTTGTTAAAAACATATTCAAATTAAAATCTATTCATCTTTTACCAATTTGTACATTTAAATGTTTTTCGATATTCTGTATTCTTTCTTCAACACCAGATGATAAATAAGCTGGTGATATCTTATTTGTTTCGTTCCGTTGATGTGCTGATGAAAAAGTTGAGCGTGCTAATGGTCCATCCTCGTTATTTACAACATCAAGTTTCATTTGAATGTTGCGGTTAATTTCTGCCGCATCAGAACGAGCGCATGATATAATATCTATATTTATCCTATAAATAAATATCTGAGTATATTGTAAATATCACATATGTTGCATACTACCTTCAGGGTTACTCGATTTTCGCAAAAATTCTGTCCTATTACTATCATTAATCTCGGATTTTTTGTGATCAATGAATGAATCAATTTTTTGCTCGATCTAGATAAAGGTTATTAAATAAAAAAAATCAACTTATGTTCTTTTTATTGTGTTATATGCATTAATATTTTTAAATCTTTACCTCTGAATTAGTTGCCTTGATTTGAACAATTTGTGGATCCATTAACTTTTGAATTTTTTTTGCCGGATTCTCATTCTCCTCAACTAAAGATTAAATTTGTAAGGTATTAAAAATATATATGTGTTAGTGTAGTAATTTAATTAAAATATATGTATATACTTGGTGATCCATCTACTTGATCATTTTTTCTTTTAATAGATGATATTGATTCATTGACCTCAAGTTTCGACCTCCATAACTATAACAAGTTATTTAAATTCTTTAAGATCAATTTTAAATGAATAAAAAGGTTTAAAATAAAAAAATGTGATAATTCACTGTCAACTCTTGCAATAACCGATCCAAATACTTTGTTATTTGCTTTTCATACTCAGAAGAAAGAACATTCAATTCCGTCTGGAAAACCCTATTTGTTTCAATCATTTGGATCTGTATCAAAAAGAGGACCCATTTCAAAATTAAAATGCATATGTACAAGCAACAATACTTTACGATACATATATGTATATATCCTACTTTCAAAAAGAATTCGCTCAAAATTTCATGCCATTCTTGTTGGTTTCCTTGATTCGTTGTCTCCACTGTCTGTTTCTGCATAGTAACAAAGCTTCCGTTTTTTTTCACAAACCAATTAGTACACTGCACGCTTGACTACATATGTATAATTTTCGAAGGTGGACTAAAAATTTTTTTCTAGCCCCGAAAAAAAATCATGACCCCAAAATCTTAAATGATCGCCGTTTGCTAAGCCACAAATTCATTCAGAATTACGAATGCCATATCGATAGGGTTTATGATTTGGGTTAAATTAAGGCTTAATTTAGGTAGAACTCAATAACTGAAAATTTTACTAAAATTGAAACAGACCTCTGTCCAGCGCCTACGATAGAAATGGTAATAGGTCTAGAAGGAAGAGAAGGAGTTGCAGGAACAAGATGTTCTATTTTAAAGTAAATGAAGATATTAGAGTATGTTTTTGATCTATGATTTTTATTTTATTTTTTATTGGTTTTCAACAATTGTCACTGGTGGCAATTTTATCAGGAATTAAATTAATATATTTTGGAGTACATAAAAGTAACAGTTATAAATGAAAGTTCTTCTTGGAGAGGTTTCTAATATAACATTTATTAATACAACACCAATGATCATGATATATTTGAAAAATGTGCAAAAGATGCATTATACCATGCTCTAAATTATTTCATTAACTTAAATTGTTCAGTCAAGACTCAGAATTTAAAGACTTTTAAAGAAGTCAATACATTTTTAATTTATGTTCATGGTCTGTTTCTATATTTTTGTCTCTTATAACATTATATATATTTATTAAATTTAATAACTTTATTTTTTAGAAACATTCTTAAAGTTTTTTATTTTGGATCAAAAATTTAAGTCTTTTTTTTAATTGAGAAAACTATGTAATATTCCAATTTCTTGTAAATAAGACACAATTAGTAATATTATTAACTTGGTCCAGAATTTACAAATATTTAAAGATATGCTAATGCTTAGTTTAAACAAAATTAAAAAAATTAATTATTTGTTTAAAATAAAACAGCAATATAATGATAACAAAAAGAATGACTATATAAGAATTCCAATTTTAAATATATTATTAAAATAATAGAACCTTATTTAAAATAAATTATTGGAGGTTTTTTTTTGTAAAAGCATTGATTAAATTCTATCAATTTTGTCTTAATAGAAATTAATAGAGTTATATTATACTAGCTAATACTGGTTAAATTAATCATAAAATTGGCCTGTGTCTATAATAAGTTTCTGAAATTAAAATTAAATGTAATTTTTATTATATGAATACTTTTTACAAAAATTTTTATAATACTAGCATTAAAAATAAATAAAACTTACAATTCTGAACATAATAATAAATATCTACTAGTTTTGACTAAACTTTGTAATGTTAGTAAAATTGCATCTAGAAAATGTATACCAGATTGGGTTCAGATAATTGTTTGGACAATTAGATCAGAATTATAAAATGATCAGAATTATATCAAAATTACACAACTTTTAATTAAAAGTTAAAAAATAAATTACATATTATTGTAATAAATATAGTATATACTTATTTAAATAATAATATTTTTGAATTTTTCATTCTATTTTTATTTGTTTATTTAATAAAAAAAATGCAAAGTTCATTACAAGCATATATTTTAATATTGCAAATCATTATTTTGTTATTTTATAAGCTAAAATTATATAAATTTATAGTCCAAATAAATTATCAAATATATTAGATCTATTTGTTTCTTTTAACAAATACTTTTACTAGTCTATAAGTATTAAGTTGAAAACTATAATAAATTAGAATTTAAAATCATTTCAGAAAACATAACAATTAGACAAATTGTTATAAATTTATTAATAAATATTAATACTAAAGAGGATGTTTTAAATAAATTGCTAAGTTTCAAGAAATTTTAAAAATATCAATATATCTAACTAGAACATATCTAGTTAAAAAGATCAAAATTATTTTTAGAAAGATGAAACATTATATCTATAGTAATTTAGTAATGCAAAAAAATAGTAAATATGAAACCAAGAACTTATATGTTTTAATAAATAAAAACACTAATTGTAATATTATATTTAACTTTAACTTAAAAAATTCTAATTTGCTTAAAGTTAATTTTTTTTTTACTTATAATTACCTACCTAATTTTGCAACTTCATTAAGCTTTTGATTAATTGGTCTTAAGATTCAAAAAATAATATATTAATTTATTTAAAATAAGACATTTAGTAGTTATTGCATATTATATTTTCAAAGATAAATTATACTGATTAAAATTTTTTAATATAAAAGTCTGATATAAGAAAGATAATGTCAGAAAACAAATATTTGAATATCATATAAAAAAAATTATAATAATTAATAAAATCAACAAACTATCAGCTTAAAATCATAGAATGTTATAATAATATTATACTAAAATTTAAAATTTAGACTAAAATAAAGATGATATAAGATAATTAAAATAATGATAACAAATAGTTTAATAATTATATAAATTATAAGAAGATATTAAAATGAATAATATAGTTAATAATATATAAATCTAATTAGACTAATATAAATTATATTTAAAAAGATAATAATCAATAAATAATAATATAAAAAATTACAAATGATATTTTATTATATAAACTTAATATTAATAAGATATTTTATGATTAATAAATTTTACTAAATTTATTAACTAATAAACAAATGATTTTATAATTATTAAGAAGATATAAAAATGAATAACAAAGTTTTAGAGCATGGCAACTTAGTGAAGTGAATAAGTTGTCAATCTCTAAATAGTAGGTTGTATATTTAAAATCTCTTTTTTTTTCCTCTTTAGCAGTCCTGTTGTTGACTTTTATTAAGATTTATATTTACAAATTTGTATATACTTTAACCTAATTTACTGATTTGATATCCTTTGGCTGCTTCAATAAGTGCTTAGAAATGGTTTGCTACACCAGTTAAGATAATAATCTGGATTCAAGGATTGTATCAGACTAGCCTAAAAGGCTATATGAAAATAGCTTACTTTACTTTCTATATAACTTTTAATTAAACCAAACTATGTTTTCTTTATCTTAATATTTTTCACCTTTTTTGATTTCTTAATATTCTTAGCAGCTTGGTTTTTTTCTACTCTAATTAGATTCTCTATTTGACTATATATCTCTTTACTAGATAATTTTATATTTCTTTTTGTTTTTTTTTACTTTAATAATCAGTTGATGTTTATTAGCTTTTCCTATTCAATAATAGCTTTATATCTTCTTTTTCATATATTTTCATAGAACTAATTCTATACTATGTTGGTTATCATGTTTAAAAATTCTTTTGTTTCCTTAAGCAGCTTTAGTATAGTTTGTATTTGTTCAATTGTCTTTTTTTGAACTAAATATTTGACTATTTCTATTATTGTTTTTTCTTTTTCTTGCTTGTTTATTTGCCAAAAAATTTTTTTAAATTACCTTTTGCTTGTAATAACTTGTGTTTCACTTAAGAGTTTAGTTTGTGCAAGGTAATAAATAGATCTTCTATTTTCTCTGTTACTTTCATAGTACATGCATGATGCCAAATGTTCTAGGTTTTTTTTTTTTTTTTTTTTTGGTATTAAGGTGAGGCCTTGCTTATATCTTTATTAATAATTTAAAATAGTTATATGTATA